ATTACTTGCTTTTCGTGGTTTGGTTTTTGTTCACTTATGTGTGTATTTGTAAAGTGTGTGTGTGTGTGTGTGTGTGTGTGTGTGTGTGTGTGTGTGTGTGTTTTCAAGACAGGGCTTCACTATGTAGCCATGACTGCCTGGAACTCACTCTGTAGACAAGGCTAATCTTGAACTCAGAGATCCACCTGCCTTTGCCTTTTGAGTGCTGGGATTAAAGGTCTGTGCTACAATGCCCAGTTTATACATTCTTTTTTCTAAATGGTGTGTGTGTGTGTGTATGTGTGCGCACGTGCACGTGCGTGTGAAGGTGAGCAGACCATTTTCAGGGGTAGCTTCTCTCCTTCTGCCATGTGTATTCCAGAGATCAAACTCAGGTTGTCAAGCCTGGCAGCAAATGCCTCTACCTGCTGAGTCATCTGCCCCCCCCCAGACCATGGGCCTTTTCTAGCCACCACAGCAGATACTCCCATCCCCAGCTCCTTCCTCCAAAATCTAACCCTCTTAAGTGACCAGGTCCTGTTAAAACATGCACGCACGCACACATGCACGCAAGCACGCAAGCAAGCACGCACACGCACGCACATGCACACACACGCACACACACGCACACACTTTTTGAATAATGTTTCAGGGCCAGGAGAGATGACTGGCTGGCTCAGTAATTAAAATACTTGCTGAGCAAGCATGAGGGCCACAACTCACACGAATGAATGCTGGGCGAGCATGGCCACCTGCCTGCAATTCCAGCCTTAGAATCAGAAACGGGATCCCGGAGCAATATGCTCAACAAGACTAGCTACATACATAAGCTCTGGGTTTGACTGAAGTCCCTGCCTCAGTGAATTATGGAAGACAGATGGAGGGTGGTTCCTGACATCAACCTTGGACCTCTGCATGCACTCACATACATAAGCAAATTAAAAATAAAATAAATCTCTAAAAATAAAAAAAAAAAAATGAAAGCTGCCAAGAAGTCTGGGACATTTTAGAACCTTTTAAATCTGTTATCTTCTCATCTGCAACAAACTCCAGCCCAGACCAGTTTTCCATTTTCTGCGTTCTACACTGAATGTGTGCTGGGAATGGCAGACTGTGGGAAACTCCCAGTTGTCACAGTGTTCCTAAGGGTAAGCACCATCAGACAAGGACCAGGAGCCCACAACTTCAATACTCCTTGAAAGCCCAGCCTAGATTTTTCTTTACTTTTCCTCCTGAACTCACTCAGACAGGTGTCTAACCCTGTCTGAGTTAGAGGATTCAAGAGAGAATATTCTCAAGCTCACATGTTTTTCCACTTTGGGAAAGATTTTTCAAAAGAAATTTCAGGACCAAGTCCTAGGAAACAATGACTGAAAATAACAGAACAAATGGGGAAAGATTGGGGAGCAAGCCCAGCATGGCTGTGTCTGTCTGCATGCCTGTAACATGAATATAAAAAAGGGAGAAGGAGAAAAACAGTGTGTCTCCTGTGTGCAGAGAGCCAACTTCAAGGACTGCTGTGTGTGAGTGTGACCTTGTATGCCTCCCACAGGAGCCTGAGAAAGCAGGTAGAGTCACCTTCATTTTATACACGGGGAAACTCAGGCTTTGTAGGAATAACCTGTGTTGATGGCAAGGCAGGAAAACAGACTCTCTCTTTGCCTCTCTCTGTCTCTGTGTTGTATGTCTCTATGTCTCTCTGTCTCTCTCTTTCTCCCCATATTGTTTGAGATGGAAAGGGAACTATGGAAGGAAACTTGACAGATAGAATAAGTCAAAATGTTCAATGATCTGGGAACCAGAACCAATAACTCTACTTTGTAGGAGCCTCTTCTTCAGAAAAGTCTTAAGGACAGGAGAGATGGCTCAGCGGGGAAAGGCACTCACTTACTGCCAAGTCTGATGACCTGAGTGAGGTTCCTGGGACCCACATGATAGAATGAGAGAAGTGACTCCCAAAAGTTGTAGTACACGCACACTCTCACATACACACACGCAAATAAATAAAATCATGCATATTTTCATGTTTGAAGAAAGAAGGGGAACTCAATCTTGTGTCTAAACTGGCATGCGTGAAGTTGGCCCGTGGCAGCATTTACTTGTCATAAAGAAAAACAAGAAACACCTGAACTGTCCATCAGCAGATGAATGACTAAACAAATTCCTAACACCCACTCAATGAAACACTGTGCAGCTTACAGAGCCTGGAGGTTGCTCATATACTGAAATGACCAAGGTGGAAAGGCCGAGAAGTCAGTGCTGCTGTGGACTTGGCAAGCTCTGCACAAGTGGTGTGAGTCTGCCACTCTGTGAGTGACTCCCACCACAAAGGGGTTCCCAGGAGAAATGCATATGGGCATTCACCAAAGGATCCATGCTGTCCATGCACAACTCTGTGACTCATAATCTGCAGTCACACTAGAAATGACCCAAATACCCATGGGTGAGAAATCAGGTAGGACAGGTGTGATCTGTCCACAAGGTGCAGTGCATAGAAAGCACCCACCCTCGGGGAGCAGCAGCACCACCAGGGGGGCAAACACTGGTCTGAGGGGGAGGAAAAATAATATTATTCGTTATATGTCTAGTGTTTGGGTACACAGAAGTATACACGGTATTTACAGATATAATTATGTGTACAGATTTGTAGAAATGCAGGCCACAGAAACAGATAGGAACCATAGCTCTCCATAGAGAGATTGTAAAATAGAATGATAGATTGATTAGAAGGTGATGGGTAGCTGTGTATGTAAATAAACAGAGGATGGATAAATGGGTATTAAATTGATGATACATAGATAAATGATAGATATTAAATTGATGCTATATAAATAGATGAATGAATAGATTAATACATAGATACATAGATGATGCATACATGATATAGATAGATAGACAGACAGACAGATAGATAGAATGAGGAAAAATATCTCAAATGGCTTATGAGTGTGAATAATTTTTAAGACCCTGAGAATCATTACCTTGAAGCAATTGGATTGATTATCTAAACACATACATTAGAAATTACTAAACTGTACAAACACAATGTTGAGAGAACCAACTCAAAATGACAGCATGAAAGGCTAAGATGGCTTGGTGAGTAAAGGCACTTGCTGCCAAGCCTGACCACTTGAGTTCCATCCCCGGCACCCAAATAGTGGAAGGAGAGAGTCAGTTCCCACAAGTTGTCCTCTGACCTTCATATGTGTACCACATCATTGTTATGAACATGGCAGGGGGAGAATAAATGTTATAAAAAAGTAACTAAACTTTAAAATTAAAAATTAAAAGGAGAGTACATTATAAAGCTCTCACTTAGATGAAATGCCAAAACAAACAGGAGAGGTGTGAGAACCAAAGCAAGGTGTCTGTTTCAGTATTCCACCCTCAGGAATGGGCTGAGAACACAGTCACTTACACAAACACTAGTCCATGAGGGTACATAGCATTACACACGAGTACATGTAATGCATATCATCCAAAGGCAGAAATATTCTTGATGTCCTTCCTCAGAAAGGTTTCGTTCTTTGGGCAGCGTTCAGTGAAGGTCAGTGGAGACTGACGAAAAGCACCACAAAGATACTATGCTAAATGAAAGAAGCCAGACACAGAAGAATATCTATAATATGAATCAGTTTCTGTGAAATATCCTGAAAAGTGGAGATGGAGAGATGGCTCAGTCATGAGACACTGAGTTCAGATTCCCATCAACCCACATAAAAGGCTGAGTACAACAACACACATTTCTAATCTTAGCCATGGGGAGGTGAAGACAGGTGGATATTAGGGACTTACTGAACAGTCAGTCTAGCTAAATAAGTGAGTTTGAAGTTCAGCAAGAGTCCATGTCTCCAAACCAAGGAGGAGAGCAATAGAGAAAGATATCCAACATTGATCTCTGGTTTTCACATGCGTGTACTAATGTGCACATGCTCACACACACACACAAGTGCCACACATACAAAAAATGGGGGACAAGATGACTTAGTGTGTACAGGAACTTACTGTAAACCTGATGACTTGAGTTTGATCCCTCAGACCACATGGTAGAAGGAGAGAACCAGTTCCTGCAGACTATCCTCTGAGCTCCACATACATACTATTAATACAAAAATATAAATGTGATAAATGTTAAAAATACATGGCTGGGGAAATGTGTCTGTTTATTTACTGTACACAAGCATGAGGACCTAAGTTCAAATCCCCAGAGACCATGTAAAAAACTAGGTGGAAAAAAAAATCTAGGTGGACCACTATACTAGCTCAAGCCTCTAACTCTAGCACTTTTGGAAACAGAGACAGGAGGGCTGCTGGGAATTGCTGGCTGCAAACCTAGATCCTGGTTCAATGAGAGACACTGACTTTAAAGGTTATGAGCATGTTCTAGAGTGGACGGTGGTGAAGTGTCCCCTGGCCCTCTCTATAAAGTGAACTGGACCGGTCAAGTGGAGGAGCTGTCTGGTGCGTGAAAACTGTCCACAGAAACATCATCAGCAAGCAAGACGCTAGAAAAGAACAAAGGAGGGAGAATAAAAGGAGGAGAAGGGAGCTGATGAGAGGAACACGAAGACTCAGGTAGCTAGACTTGACAGTCCTGGGTTTGAATGCCAAGTGCTGGCTGGGTGGTGTTGAGGTGCCACCTATTTGCACAACTATGAACCTCAGCTTCAAAACAGGAGGGACAATGCTAATGTCTCCTAAGGATTCCTAAGGACAGAAGACCTTGAGAAAGTGAAGCTGCTGCTATCTGTCTGATAAGGGGTGGAATGAATGAAATGGGCTTAATGATAGAGATCACAAGTTAATAAGGACTTGAGCTGAACCCAGTCGGTGAGTGGAGGGCCCGTGGTTTGTTTCACTTGGATGCTATACCTGGCACCTTGGCCAGGGGGCGTCAGTTGTGACACACCATCATTCATTCATTCCATGGGCGTTTGATTCTATTTCCACACCTGCTACCAAGGGTGTGTCCCTCTCGTCACCAGGTTTCTTGAGTGACAGAAATCTTGTTGGCAATAAAGGGACAGGGCTTGCTCTGCTCCAGTCACAGACACGGTCTCAGAAGAAACCTAGGAAGATCTCTGAGTGTCCGCCCCTTCTCAGAGAGCAGCACGTGGGTCTAACTCCTCCTGGGTGACAGCTTCATCAGCAGTTTGGAAACAGACAAGCCAGGACCTGACTCTGAGGAGCACCGGCTTCTGCAGCTGGTGAGGGATTTGCCAACCACTCACTATTCTCTCTCTCTCTCTCTCTCTCTCTCTCTCTCTCTCTCTCTCTCTCTCTCTCTCCTTTACCCCTCCTTTCCCCTTCCATTCTTCCATCTGTCTACACAGCCTTTTCTCATCTGTTCACTTGTTTGTTATTTGTTTGCTCAACACATTCTCCTCAACACTGCCTCTCCACCCACCCACACTGTCAGCCAGGATGGAGACACTGATAAAAGCATCAGGCTCTGGTCATGAAAACTGAGCTCAGCTGCCAGCTGAGCCTCAGGAGTGAGAATCAGGAAAGACTGCTACTTCCTGTCCATGTCATTTTCTTCTTTCTAGTCTAAGGAGTTTAATATTTTATATCATATACAAAGTATGAGGTATTTCTTTTGAAATTTGTTTTACCTGTCAAAACATCATCTCTCAATCTTCTTTACATGCATATAATGATGAAGACAATTAAAGCAATAGTCAATGAGTAGTTTGTAAAAACACACAAACTGCTGTAATGCAAGTATAAACAGGCAGAGAGGGAGTGGTGCATCCATGAGGCTAGTAAGGATCGTGAAGCCTGTCTTATTTTACTTATACTGTTTAACTACTGCCTTTCCAGGTGCAAAAAAAAACTGAATCTCAGATAGTATGTGAGCTGCTTAAGCTCTTGGGGGTCACAGGGGTAGGAGTCAGGTCTGTTGTGTCTGGATTCAGAGCTGGGTTCCCATCACTTCCACAGTTAGAGCATTTGGTTCCTCTTCCCTCACACACGCTCTGCGTAAGAGAGAGAATTGGTGTTCTTATTTGTCACAGAGCTACACAAGGGCAAGGAGAAGGTCTACTTAATGGAATGTCTTCCCTGTGCTTAATAAACTGCCAGGAAACATGTCCTTGATGAGTGGAGGAGTGGAGAGTCAGATGCATAGCGGGAGGATGGATAGGCGTAAGAGCAACTAATAGATTGATGGTTGGTCTATTAACACAAGGATGGATGATTGTTTGATGGGTAAAAGTAGAATAACTGAAGGAATGAGTATATAACTGGGCCATCAGATATAAAAGTCCAAGGATGGATGGATGGATGGATGGATGGATGGATGGATGGATGGATGGGCAAATCAATGAGTAAATGCTTGGAAAGTGATGGGTGGATTCATGAATGGATGTATAAATGAGTAGTTGGATAGACATTTGGCTGGATGGTGGATGGATGAGTGGATTGGTAGGTAGGTAGAAAGATATGCAATGAAGAGAAGGCATAGCAGATGTTATGTCACTTCAATCATAAGAATTCCAGTCTGATACAGAAGTGTAAGGAAAGGCCCAGGGTGTGCCAGAAATCCTTCAGCTTAGCCAGAGTACAAGACAGGACTCAGAAAAAAGAATGAAGACTTTTGGCAGATGCTCACTCTCCAGGCAAAGAGAGAGAGAGAGACAGACTGACCTCTTCAGATGACTCACCAGGACAGCCCTCAGTTTGATGGAATTCTCAGTTTAAGCTAACCCTGAATCCTTCCCAGCCATACCTTAGTATAATACAGGGGTATATATGAGCTATATGCCCTGATCATCAGTCCTGAGGAGGGAGGAGTCTGCCCCAACACAGTCAGAAGAATGTTCTGGAGGAAGAAAGAGGGGTTCCAGAGAGATGCCTTCTTTACTTTTCTTCTCCCTCCCCCTCCCCCTTTGGTTTTCAAGACAGGGTTTCTCTGTGTAGCACTGGAACTGTCCTGGAACTCACTCTGTAGACCAGGAGGCCTTGAACTCATAGAAATCTGCCTGCCTATGCCTCTGGGGAACTGTCATTAAAGGGGAGAGATGCCATATTTGAGAGACCTAGAATAACATGGATGGAAATCTCCACCATATCGTGACTCTAGAGAAAACACATTCCAGGAACTATCAGTTCTTGTCCAGGTCTGACAATGTAGAAACTTTCCTTTTCACTCTCAGTAGCCAAGGCAGACAAATCAGTTTGCCACTTGATCCCCTCAGCCTTCCTTTGGAGACTTTCTCCCTATGCTATCTTGACCTCCAGAACAAGACAACGGTACTGAAAGCCAGACTTGGAACCGAAGAGAGATGAGCCGTCCTCAGCCCTTGGAGGAGGTGGGTGAGGGCACAGAAAGGATGGGGATATGGGAAAGTGGTGAGTAATTTAATGTTTCAAAAGAATGAAAAGAATGTCAAAAATTAGACCCAGAGATGGAATCCAAATCGGAGAAAGGGAGAAGGCACCCAGCTATATCTGTCCCCAATACCTAAGCTCTTATCACTATGGTTCTTAGTCAACTGCTTCTCTTCAAAAAGGAAAATTTCAACCCTCAGTGCCATTCTTTCTCAGATAGCATAAAATAGGATCCAAGTCATGGTTTTAGATATTCTGAGACCTCTGCAAGTGAACAAGAAATGGAGAAATTCTCAGAACAATGTGAACCTTGGCGTCGTATTTGAAGGTTCTACCAGGGCAGCGAGTGCAGCAACTCATTCACTTTTGACCAAAGTGTCAACCAGGGAAGACCTTCCTCTTTGACTGAGTCACAGTTTCAGGAAGGATACACATGGCATAGTGACAGAGGAAGGGGATAGCTACTGAGTCAGCCAGATCAGCTTAATCAATCCCTTGAGGTCAATGGGGTGACAGATGTCACAGTCAGACCACTCTGACCTCCTCAGAGCTCCATCTGGAAGGACCAGGAGAGAGTCTCCAGCCCACCAGATGTGACCACTGGAGGTGACCTTCAAAATCCCACCCTCCCCACTCCCACCCCTACATGCACGCACTCATTTATATCTGCAAACTGAATTTAGGCTCAAGGCTGAGTTGTCTTACTTGGGGAATGAAAATAGGAAGTACCTAGATAAATCTGAAATCCATGTTAGTAACAAATAGTTTTGTTGTCTAAGCATACCCATCATGAAATATTTGGGAAATACTTACTCTAAATATTTGGTTTGTTGTTGTTTATATTTTTACTATTTGGGAATTTCATATCATACATGTACAAAATGAAACATGATCATAGCCACCCCTGTTCCTCCCCCAACTCCCATCATATTCTCCCCAATATGTCCCCTCCCAATTTCATGTTTTCTTTTATGTGCGTAACAATTCATTAAGTCCAATTAGTGCTGTCCATATGCTCGTGGGTATGGAACCACCAGTATGTTTCCCATGCTTGGGTGGATGCATTCATACTTACTTTTTTTTTTTTTAATCTTTGTGTCAGGAACTAGGGATATGGCTCAGTGACAGAGCATGGGTCTAGTACAGGCAAGGCCTTGGGTTCAATTCCCAGGACCACAAAGACAAATTTTGAAGTGAAGTTTGAGTGCCACAGATACCTTTCATTTTGGCTGCCAAGCCTAACCTTAGACTTCATTGCACTGTATTCTTCTTCCTCTGTCCCTCTGCCCTAGGAAAGATACGATATGTCAGGTGCCCGTCTAGCCCTGACACTGTGTGTCACCAAAGCCCGGGAGGGTTCTGGGGAAGACATGGATGCCCTGGAACGAATGTTCCGGCACCTAAAATTTGAAAGCACCATGAAGGCAGATCCCACTGCTAAGGTATTGAGCTGACAGCTCCAGGGAAGGAGGGAAGAGGGCTGGACCAAAGGTAGGCTTTGGGGCACCTATCTGAGCTGGCTTGTTCCTCTTCTTCCAAGCAATTCCTGGAAGAGTTGGACAATTTTCAGCAGACCATAGATAATTGGGAAGAGCCCGTCAGCTGTGCTTTCGTGGTGCTTATGGCACATGGCGAGGAAGGTCTCCTCAAGGGAGAAGATGAGAACATGGTGAGACTGGAGGACCTTTTTGAGGTCTTGAACAACAAGAACTGCAAGGCCCTGAGAGGCAAGCCCAAAGTGTACATCATTCAGGCCTGCAGAGGAGGTAAGGACCGGGACACTGCCTCCTTGTGCTTTGGTGAAAGGCTAGTAAGACAGAGTCTCACCACACATCCCAGGCTAGCCTCAAACTCATTATGTAGTCCAGGCTGCCCTCAAATTTATGACCTTCCTGCCTTGGTTTCCCAAGTGCTGAGATTATAGGCATACATTATCATGCCTAACTGAGTCCATGCATCTTTAAGATTTATTTTATTTTTAGTTGTGTGTATGTGTGTGTCTCTGTACGTAAGTATGTGCATGTGTGACTTCAGGTAACTGAGGAGGCCAGAAAAGGGTGCAACTCTCTGGAGCTAGAGCTACATGGGCCCTGGGAGTTGATGTTTGGTAACCTACAAGAGCAATAAATGCTCTTAAGCACTGAGCCATCTCTCTAGCTCAGAGTCTATGTTTTTCATGCAGGCTGGTCCCAGACTCAGGGCCCCAGCTGAATCCAGCATGCCACCAGACTGCTCCACAACCTTCTCTTTGTCCCACTTTTCTCCCTGGCTTTTCCTTCTGCTCCCCTTGGTTTTAGAGCATAGAGACCTTGGTGAAGAAGTAGGCGGAGATCAGGTTGCTATGATCATGAAGAACAGACCTCAAACCATACCGACATATACGGATGCCCTCCATGTCTTCTCCACGGTAGAGGGTATGAGCACCCAGAGTGGCTGATGTCTCCCTACCCCACAACAAGCACACCTGGTCCCTGAACTTCTCCATTAAGAAGGGACTCTCTTCCAGGGTCCCTCCACTCTCTGAAGACTTCTCCAAACTCAATTCTCTGACCTTTGCAGGGCACCTCTCCTACAGACATGACCAGAAAGGTTCTGGCTTCATCCAAACCCTAACAGATGTGTTTACACACAAAATAGGATCCATCATAGAGCTGCTGGAAGAGGTGAGCCAGATGGGTTATCTGGGACCCCTACCCGGGCTGAGCCCCTCCCAACCTTCCCCTATGCCCTCATCTCCACACAAGAATATTGGGACTCCCAAGCTCACCATGTGTGGGAATGGTTTTTTAAAGGGTTTTTTTTTCATGTATCCATGTGTTGTACAAATATGTGTATGAACAAGTATGTGGTGATAGGCGGTGTGCATACATGTTTGTGTATGCAGAAGCTCAGAGAGTCTATCCAAATCAGTGATGTACTAACTCAGTGAGAGACCCTACCTCAATAAAACATTATGGAAGAAGACACCCCAATGTCACCTCTCTCTGACAACTGTCACATGCATGGCAGGAACATATATACACATATATATACATACACAAACCTGCTAACCAATGACTCCACAGAAACTATGGAAACTAAAGGATACCCACCTGTACTTCTATACAACCTAATCCCCACCCTCTCCTGACACCAGCCTTCACAGCAGCCCAGTCCCTGAAGCTGACCACACCTATTGTTGCAGGTAACCCGACTTATGGCAGACACTGAGGTGATTCAGGAGGGGAAACCAAGAAAAGTGAACCCTGAAATTCAAAGCACCCTCCGGAAGAGTCTCTACCTGCAATAAAAGAGAGAGCCGTGACAGATCTGCAGGTGCTCTCTCTACCCCCACAGATACTTAGAGACAGCCACCAACACTCCTCAAAGATTGTTACTGAATTCCTCATTCATCGCACTCCTTTGTCCATGTCTTCTTTTAGAGCAAGGCAGCAAAAATAGATCATATATTAGCAGCAACACAAACGTCATCTTCCTCGGGCTGGACTCCCTCCATTACTGAGGCCTCAGATTGCCTTTCTATAGCTAGATTTCTGTTCTGTTTGCCTCACCAAGCCTTCCTCTTCCTCCTATGACTCATACAAAAAGTAAATAAAAAGTCAGAGAAAGGAGCTTTCTGAACAATTTCTAGAAATTTGCAATAAGGTCCTGCTAAGGTCAGCACTGTGGGATTTGGGCACTAGGCTAGAAGAAAGATTAGCCATATTGTCTTCCCCAAGTATATAGTTCATGGTTTTACAGCCATGTCATCTATCACTGTGAAAACTCACAGCTTAAAATGGGCCTTTTCAGCCTGGCAGTGGTGGTGCACGCCTTTAATCCCAGCGCTTGAGAGGCAGAAGCAAGTGGATCTCTGTGAGTTTGAGGCCAACCTGGTCTACAAAGCAAGTTTCAGCACAGCCAGGGCTACAGAGAAACCCTGTCTCAAAGAAAAAAAGAAAGGAAGGAAAGAAGGAAGGAAGGAGACAGAGAGAGAGAGAGAGAGAGAGAGAGAGAGAGAGAGAGAGAGAGAGAGAGAGAGAGAGAGGAAAAGGAAAAGGAAAAGGAAAAGGAAAAGGAAAGGGTGCGTTCTTTCTGGTCCCTCTTCCCAGCCCTGCCTTGTCTGGGAATTCTGGCCGTGGTCATAGACTCCTCCAGCTGACTTTGAAATAGCTTTTGCACCTGTGTCTCTTCTCATCCCCAGCACCCTCAAGGCTCAGACTGGATGATCTCAACTTTTCTGCAGGTAGAATCCTCCCTCATCTCTCTGCACAACCTATGGGAGATTCTCTCTGGAACACTAAAAGATACAGTGGGCCCTGTTGCTTAGAGACCGAAGCTATTTAGTTATCACACCCAATTTTCTCATGCTCAGATTACAGTTTGTTATTATGGGGAAGTCAAGGCATCTAGTGACATCCCAGAATAAACATTCTTATTCAAAAATCAAAGAACTGGAGCATGAAATACTCACACTAAAATAAACTTCTGGGCCCTAAAGGATTTGAGGTGCCCCTCCAGCTAGTAACCTGTATTTGAGGAGCCCCTCCCCTCCAGCTAGTAACCTTCTTATTCAGAAGGGCCTGTCCCAGTGAAGGAGGTCCCATGAGTGTGGTGCTGACGTCTTTGATGATTGTGGCAGCTTCTTCAGCCACAGAATGATCAACACACACAGGTTCTTAGCCAAAATATCTACAAAAAGCCTCTGCTCCTGAAGAGTCTTTGTCCCTCTCCAAAACCCCTGGAGCTCAGCCTTTCTGCCCAAAGCATAAAAGCCACATGGTCAGGTCTGTCACAGCAATGACCCCATTTCCTTGGTACCCATTTCCATGAAGGAAGTGTCTCCAGATGCCTTCGGGAGACACAAAGAACACTGTTATTAAGAGACTAAAGTCAAACCACACCTGTTTTCTGGATTTTGTGATCCCATCCAGTGAGGCCTCTGATAAATTCATCTCCTCTGCTAAGAATTCACCTCCCAGAAATTCTAGAATCCTCTCCCTCCCCTCTGCCTCTGTGCCTTTGCCCAATTCAGCATTTCTTCAAGCTTAGGACTCCCATGGGCCTTCCTCCCCTCCTTCCTCCTTTTCCCCACTGCCTCCCCTTCACCACTTACTCCACTCCTAAACTCCTCCTACCCATGATGAAGAGTTATAGTTTCTATTGTTGGAGGACAGGAAGCAATCTTTGATTGGTGTAATGAGTATTCAATAAACAGATGTCAAACTTGAAAGAAATGTGTTGGTATCTTTGCTCTGAGCCTAACTTGTGGGCTCCAAAAAGAAAAAAAGAGAAAGAGAGAGAAAATAATTAATTAGTTTTGTTTCTAGGCAATTTCACACATATATGCAACACTGACCACTCTTACCCCTGCCTTCCTGAATTTCCATACCACCCCTTTTTGAAACCTTTTCTCAGAAAGTGGAAGAAAGAAAAAAAGAAAGTAAGTTGGAGTCTGGAGAGATGGCTCAGTGGTTATGAACACTTGATGCTCATGTATAGGACCTGGGTTTGATTCTCAGTGTTGAATCCCCGCACTGGGGAGACCCCCACTCAAATCCTAGGATGCAGCGTTGGATCCACAAACCATGGAAATCGGCATTTGATGCAAAACAGCAAGAGTCTTTATTCAGGATCCAGCTGGCTGGGGCTCAACTCATACCACACAAAGGAGGAGGAGAGAGAACCCTAAACCCAATTTTACATGAGCTTATAAAGACAAAAACCACAAGAGGGGGAGGGGGTCTGGGGTTAGGGGCTAGCAAGCTCCTGATTGGTTGGGCCCAGGTGGCTGGTTGTTGGCTGGGCTCATGCTCCTTATCTGGCACCTGCATCTGTGTTTCTAGGAAATGTTTTGCAAGCCCATCCCGGGGGGGGGGGGGGGTCCTTCCAGGTCAGGAATGCATGTTCTCAGGCTATTCTGGGACATAGGGCAACTGAAAATTTTCCATCTTAACACCAGTACCCACATGGTGTTTTACAACCATCTGTAATTCTAGTTACAAGAGACCCAATGCCCCCGAGGGCACTAAACACTCGCACATGAATGCAGACAAAACATCCATAGTCATAAAATGTCTTTTTAAAAGTTCAAAGAAAGCAGGGTGTTGGTGGCGCATGCCTTTAATGCCAGGACTCGGAAGGCAGAGGCAGGAGAATATGAGTTTGAGGCCAACCTGGTCTACAGAGCTAGTTCCAGGATAGGCTCCAAAGCAATACAGAGAAATCCTGTCTCGAAAAACAAAACAAAACAAAATGTTTAAAGAAAATAAAGAAGAAAGTAAAAAATAAGTCAGGCAGGTAGCCCATTGTAGCTATGCAACATAGGCATTAGGGGCTGAATCGGGTCCTCTATGAGAGTGGTAAGTGCTCTTAGTTGCTTAACCACCTTTCTCGTCCTTGAATGTGAAAATTTAAAACAATCAGTCAAAATAAGATGGTAACAGAGATGGAAGGAGAAACAGAAAGAAATGGATAGGTGTAGTCAAACCTTTCTGGTCCATCAGCCAGTTCCCAAATAACCACACAGGGACTTAGTATTTATTATAAATGCTCAGCCGATAGTTTAGGCTTATCTCTAGCCAGCTCTTATAACTTAAATTAACCTATTTCTATTAATCTATGTGCTGGCCTGAAGCTCATTTACCTCATCTATGAACCTTCCATTGCTTCTTGTGAGTCTGGCTCAAGACTCCTCCGACTCCACTCTCCTTCCCAGCTGGTCTCTGCCCTGAAAACCCTGCCTAGCTATCAGCCAATCAGCTTTGTATTAACAAGGAGAGCAGCACATCTTCAGTGTACAGCAGGTAGGTGCTGACTAAAGGATACAAACCAGCAGATCTGACAGATGCAGTGGTCCACACCTGTAATTCAAGCACTCAGAAAGCAGAGGCAGGAGAATCACAAACTCCAGGTCAGCCTGGGCAACACATGGTAAAAACAGATTTCAAGTGCTCTTACCACCAAAAAAAGGTGGGGGAGGGGGAGTGATGGCTAACTAAAAGATGTAATAAGCATGTTAATTTGCCTAACTATAGGAAAGCCCCTGGGCCTGTATATTATGTGCCATGCACCTTAAATGCACACAACTTTAACTCCAATTTTGCTTTAGTCAGAGTACTCTTTTATGCCCAGATTACAGAGTCCTCCAAAAACCAACAAAGAGACTGAATCCCATGTATAAAGCAAAGAGCCTTTATTCAAGGATTTGAACCCTCACTGCATCCAATACATTGGAACAATTAGAGTCTTGAGCTCAGCTAGGGTGGGTTTTTATCATAGCAGAGGCTGAGGCGAGAGGATTTCTAAGGCTCAAGACCCTTGATTGGCTGCCATTTGTCTAGGGGTATCTTGGTGAAAGGGGATGGGTGTTGTGTTTGGTGGGCTAAGGGACATCTGATGATTCTATCTACAATGGTTGGAATATAAGGTATTTCCTTTGGAATGTTGGGTATTTACCCCTTGGATGCTGATTGGCCCATTCCTGGAAAGTGCATGGGTGGTCCCAGTGTGTGGTCTTTCCTGGAGTCAGGTGTTGCCTTAGGTTAAACTGGAACTCAGGCCTACTTTCTGGTTGGTGTCTTTTGAGCCTATCTGGCAGCAATGCAGTGTATACGAAGCTGCCCTGGGCCCTACATTAGAACTGTGACTGTAGCAACAGGCTGCAGAGCACTGAGGTAAACAGTTTAGTTTCATGGCACCTCCCAGAGGCAGGCTGCCCTCACTTATTAAGTGAGGGGGCTGAGGTGAGGTCAGGGCTAGTGCACTTGCCTGAGGTCCAAAGCCAAATCTGACCCTAAACCAATACAGAAAACCAACTAATCCCTGAGCATGAGATCTAGCCAGTCTGAGCTCAAGGACTGAAATCTGACCAATCCCCACCCTGGAAATCTCCCTGGGAAAACTCCACCCCCTAAGAAGCCCTATATAAACCCTATGTCTGTTCAGCCTGTGGCTGTTCCCCCTGCCCAGCTGTCCTCTGCCACCCTGACAGAGGGCAGCCACTCTTCTGAATTCTTCCCTCCCAATAAGTCTCTTGAATGAGATTTGGGTGACACCTCCTTTCACAGCCTTTACTGGAGCAGATACGACCCTGAGTAGAGCCAGAAAAAGTGATGTTTTTTATACTCCACTCTCCTGGGGGACTGGAGCTGAACTTGACCAGGAAACCCTCTCCTGCCAGAGCAGAGCTGATACACTGGAGAAGCCTGTCCCTGAAGCAGGGCTATAAGCTGCTATGCTTACTGTGACCTGTGGTATTCCTTGGCTTCTGAGTGCCAGAATACCTTTCCATCTGAGCTGTAATACTCAGTATTCTGGCTCCAGAGTACCAGAGTCCCTGTCCATCCGGTCCAAGCCGTCAAAATGCTTACACAGAAAGTCCGACAAATGATGACCTCTCCCCCAGAGATGTTCAAGACCATTCCCACAGAGTATTTGAACTGCCCCCAAGAAAATAGACATGTGGTTTCCAGTCTGTCTTTCCTGTCTTCTCTGGAAGGTGATCTGGGAGTGTTGTATCCATTAAACATGAGCTTTTTCTAATTTGGTTTGATTTAGCCTGGTTTCAATTGCTGCACTGGCAGAGAGGCTTATCAGGGTACAGAAACTTTTCAGCATTGTGTGTGTATGTCTGTGTTTATGGATCTCATATGAGTATAAGTATTTTGTGTATGTGTGTGTTGTGTGTTTGTATGTGTTTCTGGGTCTTGTGTGTGTGTTGTATATGTGTATATCTGTTTCTGGGTCGTGTGTGTGTGTGTGTGTGTGTGTGTGTGATGCTGGGATGGAACCTGGGTCCCTAAAGAAGAGCTCTAGCATTGAGTTACTCCTTTGAAAATTTCCTGTTAAGCACAAATATTATTTATTCCTATAAGACCAAAGGTTAGTTTTCTGTAGTTTTCTTCACACAAATGATATGTCAACTGGTATTTACCACAAGATAGACAACAAAACCCACTTAACAGCTTTATTAGTAAAGAGTAGGGAGAGTGGGTGTGCACAGGCCTGTCTGGAAGAAACGTGGTGAGAGAGGAAGCAGATCAGGAGTATCTGATTTTAAAGGTCACTAAACAAATGCGTATGGAGGATTAATTAGCCACCAATACACATGGACAGCTACACTTTGCATGCACAAAAGGCACTGAGATGCCTATGCATTTTGCCTGAATGTTGATGGCAGGTGGTAGTCATGGGACCCTAGAAATGAGAACATCAATCACAGAAGAAATGCACAGAACCATAAGCCAAAAAAAAATTGCAAGCTTGAGGAGCTGACTTTGATTCTCAGTACCTATACAAAGAGTCAAGCATGGACCTTCCCTAAACCAGCATAATCCCCAACTACATTCTAAATTTATCCTCCGCCACAGACAAGTGTAATTCTTACCTGTCATCAAGGAAACTTCTCTTTGCAACCAATGGAGACCATTACAGAGAATTATAACTAACCAAAATGCAGAATTATACAGCCCAACCCCAACTGATACATGCACAGCACAACTCCTGCATCTAAAGCCCAGGTATCAAAGAGACTTTAAAGGCAGGAGAAGTTTGCTGTGAGGGTGTGTCTCCTAGAAATGTCTCACCAACATGGCTGCCTAAACAGGACCTGAGTGGGTATGATACCAATCGACAGGCTAATGTGAAAGGGGGAAGCTCAGGAGTCCTCAACCCTACACAAAGAACTA